AGCGATAAGGGCTGTCATCAAAGTAGCTTATGTTCAAAGATTAAAGACCTTCCACAGATCACCATTACATTGAACTATATTGTCTACATAAAAACATTTTTTGAGATCACTGAAACATTGTATTTTTTTTTTGGGGGAGTTCAGAACTGAGCAAAATTAATACAATATTCTGAGCAAAATAATGAGTGGCGCTCTTATAATTATTCTCATTTAAAATACCCGGCACATAATGGAAGCTAGAATCAATGTCTGTGTTCTCCTCCAAAGTGTTGGGATGCATTTACATGTATTCTTCTTGTTTGATAAACCTTTAACTACCACAAATATCTTAATCAAAATTGTTCATCTTTCAATTTATACAAAACCATTCATCATTTTTAGGGGAAATTTCAAAATAAGTACTGACCTAACAGTGAACAGTGCATACCATCATCAGAAAGCAAGAAATGTGCCAGCTGATCTTGGTTGGCACAGTTGACAGTCACTGCAAGCAGACTAAAGGTTAAGCTGAACACAATGACCTTCACTAATTCCATCAGATGAACTTCCATTTTAAGCCATGCAAACAGACTTTAGGGGGCACTTGACAAGCTGCTGGATGCTTGACTTTATTCTCTGACATCAAAACATTGTTACTTTATAAAGATTGAGAAAGGTAAGAATTAAATTTCCGGTAAAATTAATTATCAACATTTTCAGGTAAGAATTAATTATCAACATTTTCCAGAAATAAGTTATGTCCATAAATTCTTATTAATAATTAATATTTCAGGTACAGCATACATTAAGCAAAGATACAGAAACAAACTTGCTATTAATCAATCAAATGAGGAAATCTTTTTGGTATAATATTGATTAATCCACATAAAATCTTGACGAATCAACATAAAATCAAAATAAATCTGAATAAAGTTTAAACTAATCCGTAACAAATCTTAGGCGTCTGATTTTTGAGGTTCAAAATATGTTTTTTTTAAATTTTTACTTTTATATTGGTTAAATTATAGAGATATAGCTTAAAGTTAAGTGCTTGTGTTATGATGCCACATCTTTATATTTTTAACATTTTTATTAAACATTGAAAAGTGTTCAACCCAAGATTGACTGAATGATAAGGTAAAATGAAAACTTGGTAAATAACAAAATCTATGATGCACTTATCACATAATGTCTTGCTTTGATGTTGTTCACCAAAAACCATCCTCCCTATCTTAATGCAACTTAATGGAAACCAAGTCTGCTGCAACTTTTACTTTTCAAACTTTTTTTAATCATCAAAGTTTTTGATAACATGTGAATTAAGTGCTAATATCTTAAAGTGAATTAGATATCTTTTCTGGTCAACCTGAATCATAAAGTTTTCAAAATTCAGAAAGTGTAATAAAAATATCATCTTGACAGTTTAATGCAAAACAAAACAGAAATTTTTGAAGTATGTTAATTTCCAAGTTTTTTGTTGAGTTTAATTTTGGGATTTTTTTTCAATTGCCATAACTCTTAACAAGTTTTTGTTACTTTTTTAAATAATTATGTTTTTAAAACAATTATTAACATTTAATTAGCCTACAAGGTTGTGCTCTTATTGATTGTATTAGAAAACATAACCAAGTAATCAGTATCTACCATGAAATTGGGCCGAAAATTGATACTCGACTCTTAATAAATATATTTTTCATCTTGAGTCACATTTTGGAATCAACACAACAAAAAGTGTTTCCACGCTCTCTCTTCTATCAGAGAAAGATAATACAATGAGAGTGCAAAAAAACCAGCCCACAGGTACAAAAATAAACACAGCTTGAGAGAGCCACAAAACTATTATCATCAGGAAAAATGGTAAGAATTAAATAAAAACATGCCCTGACCACAGTTTATTCTGTTTAACACTCATCAAAGGTTAATAAACCTCATGTTTAACAAGCTAAATTCCAGGTGAAAACTGACAAATACTAGCTTATAGCATTCATAACAAGGCTTATCAGCTAAAAGATGGGCAGATAAACAGGACACTTTGGCATTAAGCTGTCAAATTTAAGACAATGACCCTCCTATCTAGTAGATATCAATTTCTTTTCCAAGATATAACACTGCTCTTTGAAAATATTACAGGTACTCATATTTCTAATTCATTCTGTTTTACTAATAATTGCAACAGAATAATAGTCACTTATATCATCACAATTTATAGTAAGAAGATTAATGCACCTTTACTTGTGCAATAACATCTGTAGAAGGCAACAAAAGGACATACAGTATACAAAGCTTGTGCCTGGGCTTTTTTGCATTGATTGAGTCTTGAAACAGTTTGGTTTTCAGTTTCTTTAATACCACCTAAAGAAAGTTTTGATGACTTTTGATACACTTGATGATACACTTGATGCTACAAAGTTGATGAACTGAGTGAGCTCTAATATTGTTATGCTCCGAACATAAATTACAAAAGGCAATAACTTCAAAATTACACAAATGAGAGTTATGGTATTATAAGGCACAGCACTTCTCCTTTCCATATAATTATCATGAAGTTTTAAATTCAAACCAATGCTCTGGACAAACAAAACCAAATGACCAGCTTGCAGACAGACACACACACAGACAAGCTGATATCTGTTACTTTGCTTCACAGGGAAATATTGAATATAATACACGTTACAAAGTAACTATTTTCCTTAAACGAAATGCTTAAAATTATGCAGTTCTTGTTTAGTGTTTTTCTACTAAACATCAAAAATGATGTTTTTAAAAAATTCCAAAACTTTTGTACACTCTTTCTGAAATTTCTGTTCTGATTTACTTTATTGGCATTGAAGTATCAAAATGTTGTTTTATAGAATGATTTTATATTGTCATATAGATGTTGTAATTGGGGATAATTGCAAAAGGCTGAAGAAGGTGATTCATTATTAACTTCCAAATATCACAATGTCCATTTATTTCTTTATTCTTATCTTGCCATATATTAGAAGTAATTATAATAGATATTCTTGTTTTTTGATTTTTCCTCTTGTTTTTTCCTCATTATACCTACAGCAACACAACTTTTCCCACAATATTATGCAGGGCAAAAATATTAAACGATGCTATTTAAGACATAATAAAAAATCCTGTAGCAGATAACATGACCTGTTCAGTGCCAAATGTTTACATTAATGATGTTTATAAAAAGCAATTTGTATATTAAGCTTGCCAGTAATATGAAGAAACATTTGCTCTTTTATGACATGTTATGATGGCTCTATCACGTTTCCTATCAAGTAATGGTTCTGCACAACTGCTCAAAAATCTCGTGCATTTGCTATATAAACCGTTTTATAGCCATTTCTTTTATCATACAAAGGATAAAACCACTGTTGTATGAAAGTAATCTCTGATAAATGAAATGTGAAAAATGTTCCACTAACTTTTTCTATAAATACAGACTATTAAGACAAAGGATTTTATGCCTTATATCTTTTTTCCAAGGATTTTTTTTTTGTCTTCCATGGGGATTTTTTTTTGTATTTTGTATGAGATCTTGCAATTCTTAATACGGAATAGATATTATATGATCTTTATACTGTTTAAATTAAAATAATAATCATTTATTTCAACAAAAAACTTTAATATATTAATCGACCATGCAATTTATCTATATTTTTTTAATAATTGTCATCAAAATACTATTTTAAACTAAGTAACATATTACATAAAATTTAATAACTTTACATATTAATAACAATATAATTTTGTGTATAATTATGAAAATTTTATTTTGTATCTTTTTTAAGTAGTAAGTATGCCAAGAAAATGAATTAATTTCATACAAAAATGCTCTAGAAAACAAGTATTAATTTCTTTATTTTTTTTTAATTCAGCAAAAACCTTAATGATAAGACAATGATTTTGATAACCAACAGCTTTTTACATTTTATAGAAACATTTAAACAGGGGAAAATTGTTCCATGTGATTCCATTATCCTATCAGTCTACCGAAGGTCCAACCTAAGTTAACCCAAGTACTTTCAAAGCACCTAAAATATGGCAAGGGAAAGTTAACTTCATGTTTTATGAATTAGCTTAAAAGTGGCTGTGGACTTTAACAAAGGCAAAATTTTAAAAGTAATTTGAGGCATTCAATACCTGTAGCCACTCTACAAATCCTGTTTGGTTTTAACACTGACTTTAACACTTTTTTGGTCATATATCTGCCATTGGTCCACCTATATAACTGGCTTTGCTGGCTTAATAACCAGTAATTACCAATTTCTCCACAAGTGACCGACTGGTATCTGAATCAGCGATGGAAGACATTGGTCCACCAAACAGCTTTCCCGGCTAAAATAACTAGTAATCACTAATATCTCCACAAGTGACAGATTTACCCTACATGGTATCTGAATCAGTGATTGGAGGCAAATGTCCGAGATAAAGTGTCATGGGAAAATCTTACCTAGTCCAGGATCAAACCTGCAACCCTGGACTACAAATCCAATGCTCTCCCTATTGAGCCCATGCAGGGGTCCCAAAACCCTATATCCTCAAAAACCTATTTTGGCTACTAGTAGGTAATTGAAATCCCTGCTGCTTTTAAATTTTGGTTTGAATTGTCCTTTTGTTTGGGATATAAGTTTTTCAATACCAAAATACCTCATTTGAAAGCGCCAACACTAAAATTTCCATCAAACTTTAGATTTTTAAAATTTGACCGGGACATTTGTATTTGGGGCTTTTTTTGCTTGCCATAATGGCTGCTTGCCATATAAGTTGTTCGACAGGTCAATAATAAAATTAGCCCAAATGCTTATTGGTAGATTTACAATTTTAAAGGTCATTCACTTAGTAATCCCACCTTGTGACCGTGAGGGAACCAAAAAAAGTTTAAACTGACTAACCCTTTGTGTTTAATTTGCCATCAATTTGAAAACATAATTATTTTTCAAAATTTTGAAAGAAACTCGCCATTTTATACAACTTTAATTTTTAATAAAATTTGGGAATATTTCAAATATTTCCCTTACCTTTTTCTTGGCTAAAACTCCAGAACTGTTTAATCAATTTCCATTATTCCCCCTGTGCCCGTAGTTATTTCTTCCATCGCGGACAAGTTCTTCCCCACAGCTGACTCAAGCTTGTCCTCGGAGGAAGCCCTCCTACGGTAACAAACAAAAACAGGATCAATATACAGGTACCCTACAGCAGCTACTTGGCCCTTTTTAGGACTACTAACTAAAACATTAAAGTAGAAACCTATTATACCTAAATAACAGGAAAAGATATACCTTTGGACGAAGGAAAATGAGAGAACAAGAAAAAAGGCTGAACAAGATTAATTTCATACGTGTTAAGAGAGTTTAGCTACTTCACTTGTCAAAGGTACTATTAGGATTATGGAGGGTCGAGTCACAAAAATTATTACCCATACTAAGGACTCCTTTCAACTTTTTACCCGACAAAAATTTTTTTCATTGGATTGTTCCAGCTATTTGAAGTTCAGAAGTTTATAATAAATAATTAAACCTTTTAAAAGACAAAATTTGCTCTTAGATTTTAAAAAAAATCTGTTTTCAAAGGACTGCCAGAATGTCAGCAGACGGCATTATTACCAAAAATTTAGGTGGTTAAAGCCTACTGGGAGCGTTTGATTCATTTGCAACTAACATAGTAAATCAGTAGATGAAGACAAAAAAACCTCCTGACATTGGTGTTATTATTTTCAGTCAGTCTTGCAGTTATATCTGGAGGTTATACTTAATGCTACAGACTACGCATGGATGTCAAAGCTGGTTTGGACATTAACCTTGGGACAAGCATCAGCCGTTAGAAAACCATTAATGAAGCCAGTTTGGGTTTTGGCAATCAGTCAAAATTTCCACAGTGATTTATCACAGCATATTTCTACATTATAAACAATTGTGACGCCATGGGCGTATGGGCATTATTTCTTGAACAGCAATACTGTAACAGACATGTGATTTTTTCATTTACCTCCCTCCAAACTAAAATTTTTTAATGTACTTGTCCATCTAAACCATTCATCATTATTAGTGAAAATTTCAAAATACGTACAGACTTAATAGAGAACTGAGCAGACCATGATCTTAATAGCATAAATGTGCCAGCTAATCTTGGTCTGCACTGTTTGCAATTGGCTAAAGGTGAATGAATTGTTTAAGTAGATTTGACCATGAAGTGGAATGTCCCTCAACAATCTCAAATTTGGTCAACAGTCAATTTTAATCTACCAAACATGGCTATTACTCCTAGTGGCGACAAGAGCATCCATATCAAATATTTTCAATTTATTACATTAGCGCATTATGGTTGATCTTTATAACAATTGTTTATCACCATATTATAATATAACCCTTTGGTTGATTAAAGAGTTTTGTGATTCACTTATGGAATAAGGAAGAAGCTAAAAGTTGATGATGCGCCAACAATAACTAGCTGTTAGGGAAACATTTTAACATTAAATGCATTTTAATTTTAGCTTTTTATTTTTATTTTTATTTCAGCATTTCCCAACCCCCAAACCAAATGATTACCTGGATCTGCAGCTTGTTACCGACATAATCATTTTGTCAAGAATTGTTTAACCTAATAAAGAATAAAAGTGTTCTTGCCTCTTTTTCTCTGTATTATATTTACTCCATGACATGCAATGAAGTATATATAGCAAGCAGCAGACATTTTACGTTTTATATTAATGATGAATAACTCTTTTCTGATTGAATTGTAGTAAAAAAATGCCTTATGGTACATGTTTGATTGGGTTTATTTTTAATCACTCAGAACAGTGTTAGCCTGAGGATAGCTTGACCATTGACTCACAATGCAGCTGCTGGGCAGTTGGACTCTATATGCACAAAAGTTTCATAACAACCCTTTCACTAATATCACAGACGGCAGTGTAAATAAGTACATAATTATTATCAACATTATCATTATTGTCCAAATTATCATTATTATCCAAATTATCAACATTATCATTATTATCCAAATTATCATTATTATCCAAATTATCAACATTATCATCATTATCCAAATTATCATTATTATCCAAATTATCAACATTATCATTATTATCCAAATTATCATTATTATCCAAATTATCATTTTTATCATCTCTCATCATTAATAATTGTTCAATTTATTTATTATAACTCAACAATGTATATCAAAGTAATATGCATTTATACTCATCAATATGAAGAAACAAAACTATGGGATATTTAGGCTGTTGTATTATTCTCTATATCATTATCTATTAATATTTATTATTTTTTCTATATCATAATCTATTAATATTCATTATTCTTTCTATATCATTATCTATTAATATTCATTATTCTTTCTATATCATTATCTATTAATATTTATTATTCTTTCTATATCATTATCTATTAATATTCATTATTCTTTCTATATCATTATCTATTAATATTTATTATTCTTTCTATATCATTATCTTTTAATATTTATTATTCTTTCTATATCATTATCTATTAATATTTATTATTCTTTCTATATCATTATCTATTAATATTTATTATTCTTTCTTTTCCATAATTCCCCCTGAAGTATTAAATAATAACCATTAACAGATTTAGGTCTGTACCTCGATACCCACATGTTACTAATTTTCTTTATAATAACAATAAAACAACATTAAACTTCAAAATCTATATTGGTAAAGTTGAAAATATAATGAAATACATCTCTCTAGACAGTTAAAAAAGATAGATCAACATTGAAAATTTTATATACCCAGCAGATTTTTAGCACATTTTCTGAGGTAATTTATGAATGGAGCCAAATTTTCACGGAAGCCAGCCAGTAAGTATATAACACTGAAATACCTGCCCTAAATAATTTACTATACTGTACAACAGTTCATTCATCATCTATATTTCTCCAGGAATAATCCCACCTAGCAATAATTCAAACAATATCAGATAATTTTATACATTATGTTAAGGTTTACCCTTTCAAAATAACCAACAAATTTCTGCAAAATGTAGTTTTGAATTGTCCACCTTTGAAAAAAAAACTTTACAAGTTGCAATATCACTGAATATTTGATTTTAACTAGAGCTATAAATTTTGAGTTAGGTTATTCATACCCCCATCCACCACTAACTGTGAAATATAAGTGGTCTGACCCCATTTTCTATTTTTAGTAACAGTGACCTTGACCCACTTAAGCTTGCTTTATATCAAGTTTGATTACAATATCTGAACTCAACTGATCGTCTGAAAACCATTTTAATCACTTTTTTACACTGACCTTGACCCTAGGTCAGCCAAAAGCAATCCAAAATGAGAACTCTACATAAGCTTGCTAGGATTTATTACAATATTCTTATTTATTAAATGCTAGTTTATCAACAGGGAAGCCATAAATCAAACCAGGGCTACAACATGCCTCACTCCCATATCCCCTCCCCAAAACCTATAACTTTGTTTTGGGGGGGGGGGGGTATATCTATAATTCAAAATTATGAAAAATTCTTTTCACCATTTAAGGACATTAATTAGGGCCAATGAAAGTAATCTTAACAGCACACATTCAATGACTGTCTGCCCAGTCATTTGCAATCTCTGATCAGACTCTATAATGTCAAAACGCTAATATGCTTATAAATAACAATTGTGAAAACTTTTTACAAGGAATAATCCAAAATTCAAAGTAGAGCTAAAGGCAGTAGGAAGTACTTATTTTAAAGGGATTTAGTGAAATTATTAACAATTCTTCAATGAGTGGCAAGTGACTGGTGTACAAAATGTTACTGCAAACTGGGCTCATTTCAATCCCCAACCTGCATTGGTCCCCACAATCCTACAGTACTGGTCCAGACTTGCAAGATTACAGATTATTGACAGAATACTCAATTCTGTTTCTTTAATTCATTTCTCAGATCCTCCTGAACTTTCAATTCATCTTTTATAGCATTTTAATACTAGACAGTTAACAATTACATCACCCTTAAATGACAGACATTAAGACAAAAACTTTAATCCAAGTTCATCACCTAAATTCAAACAGTTATAAAGATAACACAATGTTACAATATAGGATTAGTTTCCTAGTTTCCTGGATGGAGGGGGGGGGGGGGAGAGGGGGGGGGAGGATTTCTTCAAGCAGCTGTAGATGTCAGAGTGGTCCTGTCAATCAAACAACAAGGCTGTAAAAACAATGAATCTTCCAGAGAAACAAAAATCTTGCATCAATGCAGAATCCAGGTGTTCTGCCTTTTTTCCTTTAAGAAAACAAACTTTCCCTGGTAAAATTGAAAGGGAGTATGCTCAAACAGATTTGTTTAATTTATTCGACATAATTTATACCTGGGACACACCTGGAATTTTGCAGATAAGTTATTAATATACAAATTTCTATACAACAGAGATGGCTCTTTAAAACCAAATTGCTGTATTTAATTATCATTTATTTATAAACATTAAGTACAGATTTACTCTAAGGTAACAGCTCCTGTCAATTACACTAGTTCTGCCATCTGCACTGTTAATATTTTGAGTCATCGATGTTTTAAGATAAGTAGAGCTGTTCAGTTTAACAAATAAAGGAAAATGATGCATTACTCATTGAAGATGCATGTACCTGCAAAAATTTATCACTCATGTATTTACTTTAAACTTTTACTTATTTTCAAAGGGGCGTCCGTGGCCAATTGGGTATGGTCGTAGACTTTAAACCACTTGCCTCTCACCGCTGTTGGTTCAAATCCCTACAGGGACTTTGAGCGCACCGCATGTGATCTTAACACTGGTCTCTTAAAGGCAACAACTATCAATAAAATATTTTGCAGAAGTTAAAGAGGGGCATAACTGCAAAAATATAGCTTTCAGAATTATTCCCATTGTCTTTCAACTGCACCTTGTCATGATAAGAAAGTATTCCAAGTTTCATGAATATTTGAATAATGGGCTACATTTGCACTGAACTAATTTAATTTAACATTGACAACGACCATGCAATGATCATTATAGGTCAACTTTTTTTTTGAAACAGATGAGCTAAACAGA